ACTGAAGAAGAATTGATGCTTTTGAGTTGTGGTGCTGGCAAAGAATGCTGAAAGTACCATGAACTGCTAAAAGAACTAACAGATCTGTCCTGGAGGAAGTGCAACTGGAATGCTCTCTGGAAACAAGAATGGCCAGACTTCACCTCACTGACTTTGGTTATATTACCAAGTAAGGACTGTTCCCTGGAGAAGGATGTCATGTTTGGTAAGGTGGAGGGTCAATGAAAATGGGGAAGGCCCTCAACAAGACAGACTGACACAGTGGCTGCGGCTATGGGATCAAGTATAGCAAGGATCGCGGAGCTGGTGTGGGACCGAGTGGTGTTTCATTCTGCTGTGCACAGGGTCACTATGAGTCAGAGACTATTAACAGCACCTAACAGTAACCACAACCATTGCTTTTTGTATTTATTATCTATTTATTTAACATGATGCTGCTAGTTAGCACAAAAGTGGGTATAAAAAAATAAACTACTAGTGTATTGAAAGTAAGAGACAAAATTGTCATTCAAACAAAATGATCTAAAATAGAAACGTGTGAACAACAGATTAAATTTTAGTAATTAAAGTTTAGCTAAACTACTGGTAAGATGATCACCACCTAAAAATAATTGCATTTTTATAAACCAGTAAACAAAACAATTTTCAAAGTCTGACACAATAGGACAGATACTGCTTGATTCCATTTATATGAGATATCTAGAATAGGCAAAGAGCTCTGGGGGCATAGTACCTAAGGCATGTGACTACTAACCAGAAGACTGGTGGTTCAAACCACCAGCCACTCCTCAGGAGGAAGGTTGGGCAATCTACTTCCGCAGTGATAATGCCTTGGAAACTGAAGGAGAGCTTGCTATGAGCCGGGTCAGACTTGACGCGGTGGGTTTTTAGAATAGGCAAGTGCGTAGAGATAAATGGGACTGAGAGGAAGAGGACATTGGGAGTTTGCTTAATAGATACTAAGTTTCTGTTTGGGGTGATGAAAAAGTTTTATAAACAGATAGTGGTGATGGTTGCACAGTAATGAAAGTTACTGAATTGTATCCTAAAAATAGTTAAAATGGCAAGCTTTATGTTATATATAAAGATTAAAAAAATAAACCACACAAAGATGTTCAACCTTATTAATAAAAAGATTGCAAATTAATACTACATTGAGATACAATTTCTCATCTATCAGTCTGGAATATGTTAAAAACTACACACTCTTGGAAAGATCAAGGAAACAGAAACTCTCACACATTGGTAGTGAGAATGCAAACTGGTACAACCCTTATGGAGGGGAATGTGGAAATATTTACAAACCTGGTGGTGCAGTGGTTTAAACATTCGGCTGCTAACCCAAAAGGTTGGTGGTTTGAACCAGCTACTCTGTAGGAAAAAGATGTGGCAGCTTGCTTCCATAAAGATTTATACCCTTGGCAACCCTAGAGGCAGTTCTACTCAATCCTATAGCATTTGGTATGTTGACTCCAGAACAGTGGGTTTGGTATTTTTGGTTTGCACATACATTACCCTTTAATCCAACAATTTTACCTTCTCACCCAACAATCTTACTTCTAATAATTTTCCTCATAGATACATCTAGAGGAATATGAAAATACTGTTAATAAGTTTACTCATTACAACATTATTTCTAATTATAAAACAGAGTGAAGTTTAAGGAATAACAGGACATTTATATAATCTCAAATTATGTCTTCCCATAATGCTTATTTACAAAAGATGAAAACATAATTTTACAGTGGATAAAACTGGCAAACACCTCCTTAATCAAGTAATCTTTAATCCATTACATGAGTAATAATGGATAAATCAACATCATGTGACTCCTCATATGAGGCACCGAAAAGAACATTATCACTATCTGTGGTATTACTATCAAAAGTAACTAACCCCAAATCTAATCGTGAAGAAATATCAGATAAACCCATGCTGAGGGGCATTCCACAGAATACCTCATCTGTACACTTCAAAATACCAATATCCTGAAAAGAAAGACTGAGAAATTATTCTGAATTAATAAGCCATTACAATGGAATAAATGCATGACCTAAGATTTCTGTTTTGCTAAAAATGACATTATTGGGACCACTAGTGAAATCTGAATAAGATATAAAGATTAGATAATACTATTGTCTATCAATAACAATACTCTTTTTTAATATAGGTAAAACACACTGAAGTATGTAGTAACAAAAAGGTATCATGTCTGTCACTTACTCTCAAGCATTCCAGAGAGAATACAAATGAAACCAAGTGTGGTACAATTTAACATTTAGAAAACTGTGGATGAAAGGTTTACACGAAATGCTACTTTTCTGTTAGTCTGAAAGTTGGTCAATATAAGTAAAATTAAAATGTCTACATATGTATAGGTACATACATACATACATAAAATTGCAAGCCCTCTCTACCATAATCCAAACCAAACTCACTGCTGTCCAGTCAGTTATCGATTTATAGTGACCCCTCCTTGGGTTTCCAAGGCAGTATCACTACAGAAGTAGATTGCCCAATATTCCTTCCGAGGACTGGCTGATAGGTTTGAACGGCCAACCTTCTGGTTAGCAGTCAAATGCCTTAGGCCCTTTCTACCATAGGTAGTCTTAAATCTCTTTTATCCTATTTTTCCTTCAGAAACCAATCATCTGCAGAAATCGTGTGTTTGCGTGTGAGACAAAAAGAAAGGGATACAGTCAGTATAGTGCACTGATGGATCCCAAGTCCCTAAAACAGGACCCAATGTATAGCAGGTGCAGTGTAGTAAATTACTTTGTATGGCTTTTCTACCCATAAGTCATTGTAAACTCATTGGTGGAATGAGCAACTGAGGAGCTCCTGATTGTAAATGTTATCCATGTGGAGTATTTCTGTTGGGCGTGGCACAATACAATGTTCTGGGAGGTTCCCACTCTCTCTCAGATGCTTAGAGTTCTGATGCTA